ACAGTGTGGGAAGGGAGCATGGGAACCGTCCATGCCTCCCAGGGCACCTGGGCACTCGCCTAGGTGTGTCTGGCCAGCATCACCTTCCAAAGGGCAAACTACGATACAGGGAGAAGAAACTAGCCTGTGTCTGAGGGGGTGTCTTGTGAGCTGGCCACATGTAGCCTTTTCCTAGCCCCTGCAGATGACTCCTTACCAGATCGTTTATGTTTCTGTTTTGCTGGGTCTAGGCTGGTTTACGTCAGCTGCCGGTTTGTCCTGTCGTTTCCAGTCACTGTGTGTGGGCTGTGTATCTTCTCCCGTTCCTACTTCCGCCTACAGCGAGCGGCCTTCAGAGCTGTAAACAAGGCACTCCTATAGCAGACAGATGCATTGCTTAACCCACCAGTGAAACGTAGTCCTCTCTCAAGTGAAATGTGGCACATACGCAGAGCAACGATATGCAAGAATTTATGACGACTTGTAAGCAAAGGGAGTTATTACGGGGGAGCGTAGGCAGCCAAAACACAAATGCAGGGAATGGCGTTTAGCCAGCGTGGTGCTGATGTTCTTACGCTCCTGAGAAGGGCCGCCAGCAATCAGAGCTTTGGAGACTTGTCCGCTCTGCGATATCATACTGGTATGGATTAAACAGCGCACTTGAACTTGAAGGAGGTGGCAGATTCCCAGCTATTGGTTTCTAATATCTTAGTCCGTGTCCCCAGACTGGGAGAGGTCTGTAATCATTTAACTAACTGAAGGACTGATTAAATGACAACTTGGGAGTGGAGAAAGGGAGAACAAAACTTACCAAATCACTGAAATGGAGCAGTGTTTCAAAAATACTCAACTTTGAGGCATAGTGAGGCAAAAACCTTCAGAGATGACTGCAGGAAGCTGCTCTCCCAAGTTAGTCCCAGGCAAGAAGAAAATGCCATTCAGAAAAACCCCCAAACCTTTCTTATTTAATGAATTAAGGGATATGCATGGGCAGTTACACACTGAAGAGCACTAGCAACAGCAGAGCAGCACTAGAACCTCCCCAGGTAAAAGTACTGGAATTTAGACAGGTGACTATGACAGCTCATCTTTAATCAGATTGCACTTTTATTTTCCTTCTCTTCTGTGAAACTCCCAGATTCTCTACAACAAGCATGACTCTCTTACGACTTCCCAGGCAGGAAGTCTGTAGAACACAAAAGTCTACCACAATTTTAAGTGTGCCAATACGTCCTCTGGTTCTAGAGGTGAATAAAAACTGTGTGTGTGTGTGCGGATTTAATACAGCAGCTCTGAAGCAAGGGAAAAAACAAATGTTAAGAGGGATTTGGAGTCAAAACACTACCAAAAATGTATAAAAGTTTATTTTATGAATACATTAAACTATTGTGCGCAGCACATACATATAAAAATAGAAGCAATTTCACAAACAATTGATTGGACAGTTCTGTGTTTCTTGCAAATTTACAGTCTCAATTATGAGTCCATATTGAGTGAGAATATGAGGTATATTTTTGTGAAAAAAAATAATGTGAGAACTTTGGCACCATTTTACTGTGCAAAATAAAATCTTGGAATTGAAATAATTAGTGAGGTATACAAAAATTACTCTGCTTTTCCGCTGTGTGTGTGTCTGCATCTCTGCACGTTTGGGGAAAATTAGATTATTTAAGAACATGATTCAGTTCCAGTCAAAACTGTTTTCTAACGGAGGTGGATTAGGTCTTAAGTTATTATGGGATTTGCCTATGGAAGAAGAAACCTTGAAAATAGGTATCAACTCCACAGGAGAATCCCATGTGCAAAATATGGGCAAGACAGGCTGGTGTGGGGCATTCACAGCAATGCTTTCAAAGTTTGTAGCCCATTTCATGACTCTGCGTTAATGCATACTGAGATGAGATATGCTTTGAAAGGGACCACCGCAAGAACTGTCAATAATAGGTTCCTAATTTGGCCCTGATTTGGGAAACTCCTTTACTTTCATGAGTTTTCTTTATGTAGTCACATATCTATGGAACTATTCTTTCAAAGAAAGTTTTGCTTGAGAGTTTGCCAGACTATGCCCATATTCTCTCCTTAGCCTCCGTATCATGTACATTCAGCTTATATATGTTTTTTTTTTTTCTTTCCCCACTGTGCCAGCTCAACAAATTTATCCCGAGGGGTGTAAAATGAGTGGTGGTCTTCCTAAATCCTCTTCCTCCCATGCAGGTGATAACGGCCTGAGGAGGAGGAGGTGGAATTTAGCTAATCAAGGCAGAACAGGATCAGGCCATTTCCCAGGCAAGTTGCGTAACTTCTTGAACACTGCCACAGTGCATTCTGCTACCATGAGCTGCCCCTAGACTACTTGCACACCTGCAGCGATGTGTCAACACATGCCTTAACTTCTCTCTTGAAAGTAGCCTTTCATTCACTTAAGAAGCACCTCTGTCAAAGTATCATATCCAGCTACTCTAAAACTCCACAACACTTCGGTGCTGCACTATTTGTGCTGGACGGGTTTCCTGCCGCAGTTAATGACATCTTTTATTGTCACTTCTGACAATGACGTCATTCAGTCTCATATTAGTCAGGATTCCTGGCACTGGGAGACCCTTTTTGATTTCAGTGTTGACTTCAGTGTTGATCTGGCTGGCATTGATATGTAATAAGGAAAAAGCAGTGGTGTAAAGAGTAACTCAGCAGAGTGACTGGTGGGGCTTTCCAAATGCCCACCAAAACTGCATCCGCAAGGGTCTGCAGTTCTTAAGAACAAGCTCAGTCCAGCAGGCTGAGTCCAAACAGACTTCTTGTGACCTGGTCTACGGTTTGTTCTCGCTGTTGACCAGTATGTGCAAAATGGAGTCAGTGAGTCTGATTCTCACCTTTTATGCCAGCTATCCCATTATTTATCAGTACTGGCAACAATAAATTACTCTAGACTGCACTGGTTTAAGAGGGAACAGACTTCGTCCTATCCTGACACTGGTTTAAGCTGTAATCAGAAACAAACTTCTGTGTCAGCATTCAAACTATGGTTTCTTCTACGTCCATGTACTCTTCCATACTTCTTCAAACTTAATTTCAAAGACAGTTAGGAATATAACACAAGGATACAGGTTGCCAGCTAATGTATTTCAGCACAGCTGTAGTCTTCCTATCCGCACCTCTAGGGACTCTAGGTCAACGTAACTGTCTGATACCCTCCAAACTTTTCTTTGACCCACTCTCCCCACTCAAAACATCCTGCTTTTTCTCTTAAAATGCACATTTTTCCAAAGCAAACTGCTGCACACGTTGTGGATGAACAAAGTGTGCCAACTTGGCTTCTCTCTACATACCGCAAGACCAGAAAATGAAGAGTAATTCCTTTCCTTCGCCATATCCAAAGCGTCCCGTTCATGTACTGTAAAGAGTATTCCATTCTTTTTTCTCTTAATTTACACTGTGATCACCACTTACATTTGAGCAAAATAAATTCAAGTATAAATCACACAAAAGTAGCTGGAAAACTGTATCTTGTTCACAAAACAATTGTCTTGACAAAAGCGTGGCTGTAGATACAACCTTGTAGGCGTGCTCTTTGGGCCAAATCTTCTGCAGCTATAAAATGATAGTCTTACTAGGCCGGTTTACTCCAACTGAGGATCTGGCCCTGACAGTGTTTTTCATGCATGTCAGAAGGCTCAAATTCATCATGAATAGACACCCCCTGCAAATAGAATGGCATGTCAAGGCTGGACATAGCCACATTTTGGCTGGACGTGGGAGATTATCTTGCACTCAGATGTTCACTTCTGCAGCAGCATGGTCTATCTATGCTGAAAATGCTCATGCTCTGACATTGCATTGAATCTAGTTTCAAATTTAGGAGCATGCCATCAATGCAGGAATCCCAAGGCTTCTGGTAACTGACATTTATAGTGACTATTGACTTAGGGCCTCTTAAAATACTTTTTCAAAGGCACAGAGAATGTAGCTTCATTGGTGATCTGGAAAAAGCTTGTCAAAATAGTAAGGCAAGGTTATATGCCATTTGTATGGCTTCTGGGAGAGATTTGGAGAGTATTTCGTACAGCTTGCTGTGTTGTCTTTGAAACTGATGCTTTGCAAGTAACAGACATTGGAATTACGGCACAAATTCCTCTGCCCCAACCCAGGAAGGCATGCTTGTATAACCTTCTTCCTCTGTCCTTCATACCTCAGTGAGGTATGATAGAGAAGAACCAAATATACTTAAAGCAGTAAGTAGAAGAGAATTCAAAACAGAGAAGTTTTCTAAAATAACCCTTTGCTGGAAGCTTTCATAAATTTCATACATTTTACAAAATGCATCCTGCAGGCCAGTTCTAGTTCTTAGAGATTAACAAGGTTCAGCCTAAATGAAACACAGTGCCTTTAAATACTTATGTTCTTTTACATGTGTACACATAAAAAGGCACTTGGGCATCTAGAGACTGGGATGATTGAGTCATTAAAAGTATGTAATTACATAGATACACACTCACACATCCCATGTCTATATATATACACATGTATTTATATTAAAGATGTACACATCTATATTTGAGGCAGGTCTAAACTAAGCTCACAAAATGGCAAGGGGGCGGCATTCAAAATCCTCAGCTCCAAATATATTTTGCATTTGGGACCCATCTGTGATTTATCCCGTGGTCCTTCCTAGGGGAAATTGATTGTAGGTCTTCATTTTGGCAACAAGTCCATGTGAGGAGACCCTGGAGAATCCCTTCAGAGACAGAGGGGCTCTGGGGGTAGACAGTTTGCTTGTGTGGAAACGGTTGTGGAATTGGCACCCTAATGACTAAAATAGATTGAGGACTTTATGAGACAGGACACAGTGCGTAGAAGGGGAGGTGCAGGCAGATATTCAGATGGAGTGAACTGCTTGAAGCTCTGGTGAAGCAAAGTCATCTGATGATTTGGCCCATGATATGTAAACAGCTCACTATGAAATATTATTATCTGAGGTAATTAATATTAATTAGTAAATAACCTATGGTTGATTAGCTTATTATCCACAGCCATTCTATATCTTCCAAATACTTTTTTTCCTTTGCACTCCAGCTTGCATTTTTCTCTGTTCAGCACCAAAGGAAGCACACAGCCATGTAAAATTTGTTCAGAGTAGAAGAGAAGCAGCATCATATTACATATGCTATGTGATGAATCTAGTACAAATATTTTTATCCAAATATACACATACATATATAGATTTTTTTTTCAATGAACAGTATAAATACTTTACCTGGGAGATTATTCCCATGTGCAAAATGAAACAGTTTTTCCTGGGATTTAATCTTCTGCTTTGCTCATGTTCATATTCTCGGTAAAAAGTGGGTCACTGTCATAGCAGGAGAAACCTTGTTTCCTCTCTTCACTCTCCCATGTTTGCTGAGTGCTATGTAAGCACCAGGGTAAGCATTTGATTCATATGCATTGTAGTTATTGGGCAGCAAGGTTTCTTTGAATTTGCACTCATCTTGGAAACCAGGCTAAAGAATAGGGGGGGGGGGAGAGAAAAAAGAAGGAAA